ATACTTTTTCTGTAGTTATAGCATGTCTCATTAATACTTTTTCTGTAGTTATAGTATGTCTCAACAGTACCTTTTCTGTACTAAGTATGTCTCAAAATAATTTCTGTAGTTACATTATTTCTTAAGACTTTCTGTAGCTATAGTATATATATATATATATATATATATATATATATATTGCTTCGTGCCTCAACAATACTAACTTTGTTTAATTTACTCTAGCAAACAAGACTAGGAAAGTATGTCAATGAACTTCGAAAAAAGACTTCAGATGAGCAACTTGCGAGAAGAGCAAAGGCACTGATTAAGTCGTGGTTGAAGCTTCTGAACCAGTCGGCTAACGTATCATCTAATGACGAGAGGATAGCATGTACACCACCAGTCAGTATAGCCTCGGGTCCCGGACCTGGGTCGGGGCCCGGTGGGGGTCCAGCATTGCTCAATTCCTGTACAAATCTTTCGGTGGTTTCATCTTGCCTTAAACAGAACAGCCCAGCTTTGAATTCGGAACGTGTTGCTAGTCCACTCTGCTCTAGTGGGTCCAACAGTCCCGTATTGCCCGTCAGGCATCACAACATCCAGACTGCTCATTCAAACTATGCTCCACTAACAAAAAAGGTTGGTGTTTTGAGTCGAGGTCAGATATTATCACCCAAAACTGTTAGTCGAAATGGAAGTGTGGCGTCACCTTCATTCAGTCAAGTTTTCAAGCCTGTTAGTCCAGCATTATTAGCTGTTCGTAATGCAACAACATGTAGGGCTGGCCTTACAAACAAATGTTCCGTCACTGTAGCTTGTCCAAGACCTCATAGTCCTGCATATGGTGAGAAATGCTCACTAAGTTCACAGGTATCTTCTCATTCAAGTAAATCACTTCCAGCTTCTTTATATTCAGGCATGAGAAGCAAACCTACAACTCCCCCTAGTGTTTTAGTAAGTACTTCCCATTGGGACCTTGATATAGCCAGAACCAATGCAGCCAACAAACGATTAAGAAAGGATGATTCTAACATCCCCTCCAAAAAAAGTGTTATGTCAGATAGTGCCAGCTGCTCTAATGATAAAACTGCCTTGGTGAACGGTCTTGATTCCACTTCAGAACCAGCCCAGACATTTTTCCACAGTAGACAGTCTCCTTTTGAAAGTTTTAAGTCATGCAGAGACACGTCTGGTTCTCCTTCTCTCCCTGGAAAACCTAAATTAGAAAAAATGCCAAAAAGAAAAGGGAAACAAAATGAAAGTAGGGATATTTTAAAAGAGAAGTTTTCAGCTGCAGCATCAACATCTAGTTCTAAATTATCTAAAGTCAAAACTCACCAACAATTAATGGAGGAGTTCAAGGCTAAAAAAGGAGCCACCCTACCCAATAAACTTGTTACTACCAGTGTAAGTGGTAGCTTGTGTGATGCGGGAAATCCCAATAATTTTCCAGGTAAACCTGGGAATTATGCCTTGTTAGGCTGTGATGCTGAAACCTGGCAAACCAAGTCAGAACTCATGGTCAGGTTTCTGAAGTCCTCCATTAGCCCAGAAGAAGAAGAAGCGGGAGTTAACAACAGTCCTTTGTACCATAAGTCTGGTCTGGAATCTCCTGTGAACGAGTACTCCAACGTCACAAGGACTCCACCATGTCACGAACCTTTCATCAATACTTGTGACCCCGTGGACTTGGAAATAAAGAACATTATGTCCACACTACCTGTTCTAGAGCCAAATAACATAAACTGGGACGAAGATGAGTATGTAGTGAAAGAAAGTGAACCAGTAACAGATGAGCATGTAGATCGTCTTTCATCAGATCAGTGGGATTGTGTTAATGGAAATTATGATTACAATGATAGGTGGAGGAATTGGAAGGATGTGACCATAAACAAATCATATAATGATGATTTGTTAAATATATTGCCTTATGTAAATATTAGTTGGTGAATAGGATGTTACTAAGAAAATAAGTGAAATTTTCTAAAGATTATGCTTCTATAAATTTTGAATGAGAGGTTAGTCTAAATTAGAATCTTGTATACTAAAAAAAATAAAATGTACAGTGTTGAGTTCATGTTAACCTTTGGTTGCCACCTTTTCTTGAGAAATAAAGCCCGAGGATCCTTGGTAAGCTTGGAGGGTATGTGATGAATGTGTCTTCAGTTCACCATGTCTGTAATAAGTTGAAGAAACAAGTATTTCGTAGTTCACCCTGAATAAGTTTTAAGCTATTAATGTTTGTAATTGGAAAGTTTTTAAAACTATTAAACAGAATAAAAGAATATTTAATTAGCTCCATTGATGAAAGGGATTTAGGAATTAATATAATAAAATAGATATGTTTAAACTTTACAAGCTTACTGAAAATATTTCATGTTCAACATTTAGGACAAATGGAAAAATTATGAGTATGTGTGACGTTTTTCAGTTTCAGTGGCAGTCAGGGTTGTTTTAACACCGAGCTTCAGGATTCTCAAGCTCCTGTATATCACTTAGGCAAACTTAGATAATAAATTTCTTTAACAAACATGTAGATCACATTAAAAAAACAAATTTTGTTTTCACAAAATTCATGATTTTGAGTTAACTCTTTAGTCTTTTTTGTACTTGTGTTAGTTACAAAATTACAGTATTATACAATTAATTATTTCATAAATCATTAAAGTCTTGTCCAACGTTATCTTGTATTCTGTGCTCTAGCTGCTAAGTCAGTGGTATGGATGGATCTGAGTACCTGTGTATGGACGTACACATACCTAAAGATCTATCTTTAGCAATATTAATACCCAGAAAATGGAGGTATAAGGTTTACTGTAGAAATGTTGACCATATTTTCTGGAAACCTTGAGTATTTGGAATGAAAAGTTGTAATTGTGAAGAAAGGGTGCAACACTTCTTATTGTGATGCAGTTAAAGTCGTGTGGAATGGAAATTCGAAAACAGAAGCTGAAACTTGTAGTTTCATTTGTTCCAAGAAGCAGTTCTAAACGTCTGGAAGTAAACTGTTACCTATTATGATGTTATCTCTGGTGATGTAAAGCACCAGCTCTATTTATATCCAATATGATGTACATCTGTGGTAAACATTTATACAATATTGACTAGTAGCCTCATTCTTATTTAGAGGTAAACTGCTACCCATTATGATGTTACCTCTGGTGATGTAAAGCACGTTTGTGATATCCAAATCTGACTACCAATGTTAGGCCTAGTGAGTACAAGGAATGAATGGGTATGAATTCAATGCAAGTACGTTTTTTATAACGCTATTTTTTATGACACCGTACTTCTTCAACTAAACGTGGGTAATGAATACGTGTGATTACAGTATACTAGTTACAACCAGTTCTCTCTTGTCACACTGTGTATTTGGAAACCATTCGTTATGGTTATAACATCTAGAACTTCAAAGAAGAACATTGGATATTTATAATTTCAAGTTTTAATATAATTGATGAACACACCTATTTCCGCGTTATTGTCATCCCAAAAATGTCCATTTTGTATCGTAGAAGTTTCTTGCTATCGATTTCCTGAGTTATAAACAGTTCCGAATAGTGTGGTTATTTATTTCAGGATTTAAATTCCAGGAGAAAAAAAAGGAATTTAAAGCGTGAACGTTGTTAAGGGAGACAAAATTATTATGGCGTTTTTTTTATGTCTATTATTTTTACCTCTCGTTGTTAAGTGTGTGAATATTTGATAGAACCATTTTTGACGACGAAGCCTTGTTCATACATACGTCAAGTGGGGTCCAAATATTGACGTCATGTTATATTATTGCATGTTACGACATTCGGAGTAAATAATTGACCCCAAAGAAAAAAGATAACGCTCAGTTTCTATGTAAAATGCAAGGGGGGCCACGGCAATAATTTTTTCCCCATTGTATGTGTGTGTTACTTGTTAGGGACCCACAAGTAAGTTTGTGTATAAATATTTAATAAAAATGTGTTTCAAAACCGATGTAGGTATACTGAGGCCATCGGCAATTCCGAGATTAATTAGTTAATAACCACACTAAATGTTTATATTTTTAAATATCTACAACACGGCGTAACTGTAGGTCGTGGGTAGTAAGATTGCGAGGAAATACTTGGATAGATATTAAGTACGAAATAGCTTACAATATAGTAAACGAATTGTTTTGAAATATTTACCAAAGTATTCGAATTTCACAAGAAATCAATGAATACTGCCCTTAACATATCTATTATTCATGAGATGTTTGTTCATTATATACTCGTAGTAGTAAATTATTATTGTACTGGTTCGTTCGGGAAATCAGATTTTTTTATTAAGTCTTAGGATAGAAAGACTTCTCCTAAATCTCAAATGTGTACATCGGTTTGACTTTAACCTTAAAAATAAACTTGATATGTAAATATAAGTGCAAATAACCTCTAAAATGACGCTTTATATTAGAGACTTTTGATCATATTTCTAGCTAGCCGTATACCTTAAGTGGGCAAATGTTGTCCCTAAAAAAAAAGTGTCTTGATGTAAGAGACTCGTACTCTAAACGTCAACTAAGGTTGTGGGTTAGTTCGATAAATCTAGGCTGTAAAGAGACTTGCAATAAGCGCGTACATCAGTTGAGAATAATTAGATTATGAAATACATTTGATATTAGAGACTCGTGTTCTAAACTTTAACTCAACATTTATGACAAATCTAGTCTTAAAAACATACTTGAACTCAACGAGTACACCAAGGTTGTACGCATCTCAAAATCACACAGCCTTTCAGTATACAGAAGACGGTAGCAAGTTCCTGCCTGCACCAGCATATAATTATGGATGTGATATGAAACAGGTGATCCCACCAGGGTTTATGGGAATGAGGTATTAGACTATTTTCTGAAACATTTCGAGAAAGTTGTTGCTTCAAATGGATGTACTTGAGGGACCTGACAATTCAATATCTGACGCTATATATGGCCTTACACTCGATGTCTTAGAGCCCTTCAATGAAGAGCAACTAGATGAGTGAGACACCAGTTATATTCTTTGGAGAACAGAGCACGGTATCAAACTTAAATTTAAAGGCAAAACCCCCGAGAAAACGTAATCATTTAAGTGGACAAGATAAGAAGATTGCACGGGAAAACATTCCAGAGCGTATCTCCTACAGACCTTGGTTAGATACTCGTCAACAAATTGGCTGCTGAGCGAATTCATACAGTGCTACACTAAACTGGCACTTCTTTTCTTTCACAGAGGCAATTTCTGTAACAATGTTTGAAGTGGTGGTGTATAGATGTTCACTTGAGCAGAGGAAGAAACCAGTAGCAATCCCTGCATTAACCATCAACTCTTATGCATTAAGTGCCACATGGTTTGCTATAGGACAACAGGATTTTCCTAGTGCAGTTGCCACAAAAGCAACTAGAGTTGGACTACCACTGGCACCTATATATAGCACGAAAGAAGGAGCTCCTGCCTTGATTGTCGCTTAACTGGTCACTGGTTTATGAATGTGCATAAAAAGGAGTAGAATACTTCTTTATCAATTAAGAAACTGCAATCATGAGATTCTCTTGTTGAAATGTTTAAAACAAAAGAACAGTAAACTGCTTTTGTCATGTGAGGCTCTCGGAGAGTTCCCATTGAGATCATCCTGAAATTCTCGGAGAGGGTGATCGCTTTGGCCATTTCTGTTAGCATCGTGGAAGAGAAAATCCATTCTGATATGAAAGATCATGGTTTTACAGATGTCTAATGGATTTTCATTCACAATAATGGAAAATATAAAACAACAAAGCAACTTTTTACTTAACTTTTCATCTCATTGCAAATAAGGCGTGGTACTTAAATTGCTCTTTGTAGCCATATATATATATATCACAAATGTTCAACTGCTAGTGGTTTATCTATTCATAAACCTCTTGTCGTGGTATCCTACTTGTGACCATTGCGGTAGTAAGGATCATGTTAGTTTAATCAGCACCTTGGAGAGTTGTTGTGCCTACTATCAAGTCTCATGCTCCTTCTTATTCCAGGTCTTGTCCGAAGTGGAAGGAAGCACAACAGTTTAAGACACTGAGTTACAGCGAGACACACAACTATCTCGTCAGTTGTGAAGGAAAGTTATGCTACACCTGTGCATTCCACTTCCTTGGGAGTGTGTATACGTTCAATGCTCAGGATCTTTTCTACTCTCACTTGATATATACTATAGTACAGGTCTTTGGCCGATGACTGCATTGAAGATATTGAATCCTGTGCATAATCACGGGCTTTTTCAGTCTGAAGCTTGTATACAGAGTCCTATAAACCTGAAATCTATTTGCAGTATTTGCAAAACTTCTGTTGAAGTATGCTGCAAAGCTTTGATGACTGTCACAGCATTTCATATGAGTGTTTTTTATGGCCAGCAGCAATTATTTTGTTACTCACAGGATCAACTCTACAGCTTCTTTATTCATTGCTGAGTTCTATGCACTCTCATTTTCGATGGATTATAGAAGCTAAGTGGTACACTAATTGTAACCCTCTTTACAAACTTTGAAGGCCCTGGATTTCTGACCCTGTCGTTATCTAAGGGAATTTGCTTCCTGACACTGCAGCAAAATCGACGTCTTCCTATTCTGTATATGGATTTTAAGCTTGCCACCAGAGCAAAACCAGTGATGGGCCACCCTTTGATCAGACATTGACTAGTTTTGAACACATTGTTTTATTTCGCATCCAGACTCGTGTAAAGATCAAATGCCAGTTTTTTCAGAAGATCGAAGCAACACGGGAATTCATGGTATACATACCATTCGCAGTCATCATCCGTACACAGTGAATGAACTTTGGAAAACAGTATAGATGAATGGGACAATTATGGTCTGAGCGTATTTCATAAAAGACTCCTACAATGGAAACTGCATTACAGAATAATATTCTGCAACCAGGGCTAGTCAGTGCCGGATTTAGTACAGGCGCAATTCATGCAATTGCATGTGAGCCTTAAAAAGTCGAACTTTGGTCCTGGGGCCATTCATTGTGTAGAATACCGTTGGGTCTATTCAACTCTCGCCGGCAGGTGAACTGTGAAACACATTACTGTCTAAAAAAAATCACTCTTGCCGGACAGGGCGACGGTTAGGAATATATAAATGTCAAAAAAAAACTGCTTATTACTTCGCCGCGAGGCGACCGTTCAGCGCATC